TGTCTTAGTGCTTTGTCTTAAATTTTTCATGTTCTTATTTGATTTCAAAGACTGTCTTTGAGAACAGGTTTTTTGTTGCACAGTGAGATGGTGATAAAGGATTACTTGATTTTAATTATGGACTTTGTGTCAAGTAATAATTTTTGGCTAAGTAGCTCAATTTGTCATGGGTTACTTTAAAACGTTTAAGGAAAGTTTAATTATGTGAAACTACTGATTGATTTGTTGATTTAAAAATAGCTGTGTTGTAAGTCGGGTTGTGAATATAAACTAATGCTGTGCAAAAGTCAGTGTACATTCTCTTATGTATTCTTTTAAACCAAGCTTGGTTCAGGTTAACAGATGTGTTGATCATGAAAAGATTAACCAGAACATGCCGCTCTTGTACATTCTTGTGCAGAGTCTCTTGTAAAGACTTAAATGTAGATTGAAGTTGTGCTGGTGTGACCTCTTTGGGCTAACAAACTCTCAATCATTACATTACTGCTTAGCTGACTGTGGGATTCTTCCAGTTGGTAGTCTGGTGTTTTTATTATCAGCCTAAGTGAGGAATGAGTGCGAGAGTTTTTGTTTTTATGAACACAGGAATAAAAATTATGAAATCAGTAGTAATTCATATCTTGGTTATTTTGGTGCCAGCTCTGTGGGCATCCTCACTGCAGAGTGTCTGTTTGGACTTCTGGTAACAGATCAAAATAATGCTTTTTTGCTTCCTCCAGCTCCAGAAAATGGAACATGGAGTCTTGCACTGAGTAACTGAAAGCATAAATGACAACCAGATAAATGTGATTGGTTGGGGTTTTTTTGTAAGCAAGCTCCTAGTAACTGTGCTCTGATAGCCATTTGGCTTCAGAGCTGTTCTGTGGGATGCCAAATTCTCTTGCTTAGTGTTGCAGCTTCCTGGAGGAGTAGATGTGGCAACAGGATGTTGGTAAAAAACAGGAAACTACTTGAATTTGCTACTTATGCTATGCAAATGAAGTCTCATTACTGGTCCATGTGTAGTAATTAGTGTCTGCTATTGACTGAAGTTTTTGCAGCAATTGCAGAGCGTGGAGCTTGGTGAGTGTGTTGCACTGTGTGCTCTGGGAGCTGCACTCTGAGGCTGGGGTAACAAAAGGGGTGGAGAGAGTCCAGTGAAGGGCAACAAAGATGACTGGGGGTTTGGAGCATCTCTTTTACGAGGAAAGGCTGAGGGAGCTAGGACTGTTCAGCATGGAACAGGCTGAAGAAGAGGCTGAGGGGAGACCTTATTAATGCATAGAAGTATCTAAAGGGTGGGTGAAGAGAGGGTGGAGCCTGTTCAGTAGTTCCGTGTGACAGGACAAGGGGCAATGGGGACAAGCCAGAATATGGGAAGTTCCAGTTAAATAGGAGGAAAAACTACTTTATGGTGAGGGTGACCAGAGCACTGGGACAAGCTGCCCAGGGAGGTTGTAGAGTCCCCTTCTCTGGAGGCATTCAAGACCTGCCTGGATGCAGTCCTGAGTAATGTGCTCTAGGGGATCCTGCCTTGGCAGGGAAGTTGGACTAGATGATCTCTAGAGCTCCCTTCCAACTCTGACAATTCCATGATTATGTAGTTACATGCCTGTTAAACCACTGTTTGAGATTTGACAGTTATTTCAGCTGGCTTTCTTACTCAGAGTGGATGTCTATGAGCACTCTGCTCCATATCAATTCTTCTGACATGTGCTAATTGACTTTGAGCTCCTGCTAGCTCTGTAAGTGTCTGAGCAAGGAGTGTCTGGGTGTTCTGTAGTCAGAGCCAAGGGGCACTGTAACCAGAAATGCTTAACAGACCAAAATTTACCTTCCTGCTGGTTAGATGTGGATGAGCCAGCTTTCCCTTGACAATTCAAATGGAAATATGGTTTAAAAAAGAAAAATCATGTGCTTTTGAGCTGGTGATGTTAATGAAAAGGGAGAGGAATTATCTCATTTGCTTTCTGGACAAATCCTTTCCTCTCCTTTTACTTAATAACAGTCCAGAGCACTGAAGCCTCCCTCACGTGTAGCCATACCTAACACTGGTTTGTTCTGTGTGTCTTTGGTTCAGTCCCTATACATGTAGGAGCTTCCTGAGGGTTTCCTGAGATTGCATACTCATGGCTGGGATATCCACCTCAGGACTCCTACTTTAAAGAAAGAAGTATGAAAGCTAAATAAGCTGTAGAGCTTTGTCCACAGTGTGTTGGGTGGTTAAAGTCTGTTGTCTTACAAATGCCTAAGAAATCCACTGAGCTCGTGTGGTGCTTTCTGACTGCCACACTTTGGACGCAGAAACCAACATTTGAAAGCTACCAAAGTGGCTGATGGCCCCTGAAGTAACAGACTGCAAGATCAACACCAAGAAACATGGGGAGTCAGAGGGCTGGGTGTCATCTTAGAATATTTGGGGGTTTTTTGACAAATCTCTAAGTTAAAAAGGTTGAAACATTTTTTTGTCTCCTCAACGTGGGCTATGAAAAGACATCTTAATGTGCTTTCAGTCTTGGTTAATCGACTAATTGTGAGTACAAATTACTGTGTGGCCTTAATGTATTTACTTCAGTCAATAATTCAGTATTAAGCACGGAATAGTTTTTCAAGTATTTATAGGTCTCTCTATTTCAGTTGTTTGTAGACTCCTTATAAAGCAGATCTCTCACTTAGGGAAATGTGAGTGAAAATTTCTATCCAATAGTATATTCCTTGTTTTCATAGTACAGATACAATTTTACTGATGTCTTTTCATTCTTGTCCACAAATGTTTTTTGCTCAGAGCAGCTCAATGAAATGCATGTGTGCGTTCCTTCTGCATGGCACTTAATTTTTATGAAATACATATTTTATTGGACAGTAAAACATTAAAGGATCTTAATGGTGTAATTAATACTCTCTATCCACTTCTGTCTTGTCTATTTTGCTCTTCCTTATCCTACTGCTCCTTTTTTCATGTCCTTGTGCATTTTTTATAATGAAAATTTCAAGCAGCCTTGAGAGAGCACTATATTAGAAGCCTGTTCTCTTTGAATATTCAGCAACTCTAAGTAAGATTTGATTGATAGTCCCTCCCCTCCCTACCCAGCCTATTTTTAGCAATTTAAAAGCAAGTTTAATTTCTTGGGTCGTCGTTGGTTGTGTACGTGCAATTTACTTTGGTGGTTTTCCTCCCTCCTTTAAATGTAACAGATTGGTAATTTTCATGTGGTTTGAGGACATTCTGGCAGTTTGGAGGAAATAATGTAGAAATTAATTGGGAGCTCAGCCTTAGCAGAGGAAGCAAAGATGGATAGGCTTGTCTTGGTCGGTTGATAGATACTGTGTGGTTAGGATAGGAGGATAAGTGGAAGAAAATTTTAAGCACATTTTTACCACTTCTTATCCTGCCTCAAGAATCTTCTAGCATAAGAGACCATTTTTATGTACAAGTACAATCCACTCCATGTTCTCAAGCAGAATGAAGAGACAAAAAAACCTTCCAGAGGTTCTTTAAGCAATTTGGAAAAGGAGATCCCTCTTTCTCAGAAATAAAACATTATAGCTGTACCCCCTTTCTTTCCCCCCCTGCTTTGTGTCACCTTAAAGAGAGCCTTGGGAAGTCTTCCCACACAAACTGTTTTAATCTTCTGTCTCCCTTAAGGCCACATACGGAAGCCACGAACATTTTGACTAAGCAGGACTGGACTCCCTGCAGAGCCAGTTTGTGCACTTGCTAAAGGAATTGTTCTTGAGCAACTTAAGGCCTTTCCTCTCTTGAGGGCATAAGAACTATGGACTCTTAAACACTCAAAATCCTGGTTGTGTGAAAGGAGAAGAAGACTAGACCCAGAAAGCAAATTTAGTTTCCACCTAATGGGTAGACCAAAAATGGTTTTGCTTTTCATGTTCAGTTTGGGGTGTAGCCCAGACTAGTAAAGGTAGACTCTTGATGCGGGAGATGTGCCAGCTGCTCTTCATTTATTGATCTTTTTCTTTTTTTAATTGTTTCATGGCTTGCATAACATGGTGTACCTTGGATTGGCTGCCTGCCCACTGTGCGTAAAGGGGTGTTGACTGTCAACAAACCTGGCAATTGGGTGGCTTTGCCTCTTTCTGTCTTGTCCATTCAGCTATATAATTACTACCTCTCTTCTTCTACCACGTCTCCCTCAGACACTGTCTAATGAGACAAGCCACAATGAAACTGTAAAGACCTGCAAAGGAAGTCAAAGGTTGGCACGTGTTTTGCTGCTAATGTATGGAATATTAAGGCAGGCAGTGAAGTTTTCTCCAGGCATAGGACTTCTTAGGAAAAAAATTGCTAATGTGTAGTGGTTGAATAAAAATGTTGCTAGCTTTTTTATGTTTTGTGTAAACAGGACATATGCAAACCTGCTGTTAGAAATAGGGGCAATCAAGACATTTAGACTTGCACATGATCTGTTTACAATTGAGCGGCCCAGGTCATTGCTTCACTGCAAGCAGAGTCATGGACTGAACTTGGGAAATAAAATTGTGGATAGTGATTCCAAAACTGAGGTCTCTTGGTGACAAGTGGGTGCACCCTCTTCTCAAAGGGGTTTCTTCTCACTTTCATCCTGCTTTGTGCTTCACCAGAAATGATTACAAGTATGAAAACTCTTAATAAAAACCAGAACTGTGGCACAGAAGAGCTAGAGTCTTGTTCTCAAAAAAGCTGAGTGCAAACTGAATTTTGTAGGAAGCTTTCAGATAAGGTGTGTCCATTAAACTAATATGTTTCCCTAATTCTGTATGCTACATTGAGCAAAGGACAGAGAACGTTAGAACATGCTATTAACATGACAAGTATCTCTCTAAAATTTCCTGATTTAAAAATAAGGAAACCATTGTGGCAGCAACTTATATTTATACTGTCATTTTGCAGTAGTCATTGTCACTTCAACTAGTTAACCTCCTTTCCAGGAAGAAGCCCCTCAGCACAGTTGTTTATGCTAGCAGGATTTAAAATATCATCATCATCTTGTGATTGTTTTACATTGTTTGCCATCATAGCCATGCCCTACTACGTGGTGTTTCACAAGCCTATCCAGTACATCTTCTCCCTAGAACTGAATCACAGTAAGATGATTTTTCATTTCTTCTGTGTAGTAGGCAGGGCTCATCTTACCATGTTGGGCTTGGGATTCTCATTTAACCTTTATTTTCGGTGTTAATATTTAGGAGACCGTAGGTGGGTATCAGTTGGTAGATGTGGGTGAGAGAGTTGTTGCCCCAAACACTTGGCTCAGAGTCTAGATGTCAGCTTTTAAAACATCTACATTACCCTCGGAGCCACTTCTAAAACAGTAATCCTGGCTTCCTCTACTGGGTATTGAATGGATTGTGAAATGTCTGCAGAGAGAGTGGAACGGACTTGAGTGAACATTTTGCAAAGTCTCACTCCATATGGATCGTTTTTTATAATGTACATGAATAGTACATTAGCTCTTCCAAATCACTTTCTAAGTGAGCTGAACCAGCCTCAAAGGAAAATACATCATAGTCATGCTCTGTGCGTTAGAGAGTCTGATTGAATTCAAAGGTTGGTAACATCCCACACATAAGCTTTTTCTGGCATATGTCTGCAGCAATTAGGATCTTTTCTTGAGCTTTACAGAGGTTATTTTGTTTTGCACAGCCTTTGCTAATGTGTTTATAGGTAGTTCCTTACACTGGGAAGGGAAAGTCTTCTGAGATGGCTTGTGAGACCTTTCAAGGAGCTGGGCTGGCTCCTTGAAAGCAAACCATACAGTGATGAATGGCCCAGTCAAAGAAGCTGATGGCATTGCAAATGAGATTTACATGAGAATTAAACTGCTGGAGTGTATCCAGCAAAGATGCTGAAACAAACGCCTCTCTCTGATGGTTATTAGGTGATTCTTATGAACTGATCTTTTCAAACAGTAGGTTTCTTCTCCTTCTCCAGAGTATAAAAATTTCCCAAGGATCTGCATGCTTCTTGTAGTAATAAAGGAAGAATCATCCCAAGAAGATGTGAGGTAGGATGAAAATAGGAGTTTTGAAGTTGTATGTTGCCTGTGGCAGCTGTGGCCAAATTTCTGTGGTGAAAGGGGCAGGATCTGTGGCAAGCTGGAAATTCCCCAGCAGTTGAACAAAGTTTTAAAAGGCTTGAGTTTGAGTTAGGTATGGAAATGAATAACTAGTGCTACTTGTGGAGGCCAACTGTGGCACTGCATTTAGTTCCATGCTGTCACTATGTATTTAATTCTCAGTGCACTGCTTGATTTCTTATTGAAAACAGAAGTCTTTGCAGAAGCTGTTACAGGGAAGTTCCCCAGAGTGTGGGTGCAGGTGGGGCTTTTTTGGCACAGAGGTAGGTGTTAATTGTGGTTTATGATTGAGGGAGAAGCACACTTAGTTGAGCCCATGTGCCAAGATGAGCAAAGAAGGAAAATAGTATTGACCTTTTTAGTTTTAACCAAGATCTGTGTGAGCAACAGAGGCTTGGAAAGCCTCTCAGAAGGGCTTTTGAATTTCGCAGAAGCACGGAAGGAGTGAGAGGTACTGGTGGTGGCCATGCTCTGCTGAGTCACCTCTTGTGGTCTCTGCTGTGGTAGAATGGAAGCCAGACTCGGGCTCTTATCTTAAAATTTGTCTTGGAGTGGGGGGGAAACTTGGCACATCATGAATGGGGGCTAGACAGCCTGTTCTGGTGTGGAGACACTGAGCAGATGTGTGTGTTACAGAGCTAGTATTGGCTGTTCCTGTGACGTTTCTGGAAAACAAGCTGAATGTCAGACTGACTGCTCACTGCTTGGTGTTGCCAGAGTAGCCACAGTCCAGGGGTCTTGAAGCATCATCAATGGGCTGTGTGTCATGGTTGGGGCTGGGAGCTGTGCTTTGGCAGGACCGGGGAAGGTGGGATGCGAGAAGTCCTGCAGGGAGGCAAGATGTGTTGTTCCTCTGAGCCCTTAGCAAACTGACTCCTGATGCCAAAACTTTATGCAGTGTCTGCCTTTTCAGTCTTGGTGGTGGAGAGTTTGCTGTTGCCTCTTGAAACATAGGTAGGTGTAGGACAAGGGTGGTGACAGCAGAATATAGAAATAAGTATCATCCTACTTGGTTTCATACAAGTTGCCTTTCATTATGCATTTCACTCAGTGGGACAACAAGTTAGCACGGGGGTGGGTGGAATAACCTTGCTTGTCACTGTGTTGTATTTTTTTTAAGAGCATAAAAACTTGGCTGCTGTCAGGCACACACTTGAAGACTCTCTGTCTCCAGAGAGTGCTTTTTTAATTTAAGCTTCTGTTCCACTCCATAGTTCTGCCAGTTAGATCTCTAGCTTTGTCTAATGGGTATTGTCTGGTAGGGTTGGGATCTTGTTTTGATCTGGCTTTTTTTTCTTTGAAACATCACACTGGGTTCTAAAATGGAGCTGCTTGAAAAGTAAAAACTAGGATATAGTGGGGGGGTTGCCAAAGTTGTCAGAGTGACAACCACAGAAAGTAAGTTTCTATATTCCCTGAATATCCCCCAAACATAACTAAGTGCCATGCCAATGAAGTCCTCCAGGACTTTGTGGAGGTGCTGGCTTAAGATACATCTTCACTCACTGTCAAAGCAAGGAGTGACAGGTATGATATTGATTCTTCTAAGATGGACACTGGCTTAGCAGGACTGAAATCCCTGCTTTCATGCAGCCCATTTTACAGGGGTCCACAGAGACCAATAATGACTAGAAGGTGTTCAGAAGTATTTGAACTAGGTTTTTAAGACTTGCTTACTCTGTCATCCAGTCTAACCAGCTCTGCAGCCCCATGATGAATGTTGTTAAAATCCCATGAGAGGTCCTAAATACACGTTTACCACATAAGCAAGGTGGGCTACACTTGTGGAGAGAGAGAGAATTGATCCAGCCCCAGTGTTGATTTTAGTGGTACAAACATGTGCAGTAAGCTGGAGGAGAGGAGTTAATTTTAGCATGATTAGCACCACAGAAGGGAATCAAGATGACTACACTGTAAGTGGCAGTGGGATGAGATCAATGAAGGTAGTTTATTTCCATGCAACTTAGTGGGTGTTCTAAGCAATTTTTTTTTTCTTTTCTTTTTCTTTGTTTTTAGGAGAACCAAGAAATCTTTCTGTGGTAGCAGTTCTGGATACTTTAATGTTGTTGCATGGTGGTTGTTTTAAATGAACACCAGGTGCTTGAGTTCTGCTGCTTAGTAGTTCCTTGTTTCTGTTACCTGGTTTAGCAGCAAGTGGCGAGTGATTCTTGGAATTGGACTCTCAGTTCTTCTACTCACCTTTGTTTATATTCTGGAGCATGTTCAAAACTGTTTATGATTAAACATTGCTCAAACAGCCAGGTTAAGATTTATTGACATAAAGGAGGCTGGGAGGAGGGAGTGGCTGACTGGTCATCTGTGTCTACTTCCAGCAGATCATGATGGTGCTGAAGTTGTACACGTGTCTGTGCAAGGGCTGTGGTGTGTCAGGCTGCTGTTCAAAAGCACAGGGACTGATACCTGCCAGCACAATCTTTTTTCCTTTGTATGGTACAAAAAATCTCAATCAAGGGAGTGTATGTTGGTGATGCTCTCCTTTCCCTGGAGCTTGGGGTTCTAAAAAACATCCTGTGCCTCTCAAGCAGGAGTCTACTATTTTATTCTGTGGGAGAGGCTTGCACACCCAAGGAGAGAGATCAGGCTTTTAAAACATGCTAATAGGATTGTGACCTACAGGAATTTTAAGCAGGGATCCTTTTAAAAAGAGACATGTACCCCTTAAAAGACAGTGGTGTTATATGGAAGGCAAGGAGGTTCAAAATGGGAGACTGGAAGGTGAGCACTATTTGGGAAAATAAATTCAAATGAAAATACAGAAATATCAGAGCTAGGAAGAGGGTACATTCATTTAAAAAACCCTATTTTTTTCTGAAGCTGAGACAATGTTTCCTGGCCCCTTTTAGCTACATGCAAAGCAGAGGTGTTAAACAACCATTTTGCTTGAGTCTTTATGTACCGTGTTCAGTTTTCTTCGTTTTAAGATCAGCTATTGGTAATTTTCAGGCTTTAGGGAAAAAAAATGCTACTGACAATATACTTAAAAAAATAACAGATTGATCAGCCTAACATGGAAAGGAATTATTGCAATTATAAGACTTGATGACAAAAGTGAGATACACACGCACCCCATATGTTGCACATAATTTACATTTTCTCTGAAGATCATATATTTATTGGCTGGTGAAGAACTGATTAAGATAGGATCTAGATCTCTACAGGCTAGAATACCTGATCAGAGCAGCACTGGGACACAGGCTGTTGTGTGTTGTATAGAGTCTCTTAACTATCGTTATTTTTATGTATACAACCACACACACAACAAAATAAGATAATGGGTTTGTTGTGTGTCACAGATGATATCAGGCCTCTGCAGTGCTGATAGTAGAACCTTCTGGTGCTGGCAGACAACCTCATTTCAATCAAAGCATTATCTGCTCCTTGTGCCAGCCCACGTCTTTGGTGGCAAACTTTCACATCTGATTTTTGTTGGTGTAGGTAAGAGCTCCTAAGCTCATACATTTAGCATGTTGAGAGACTTGAGTTGCATCTTGCAGGGCTTCAGACTGGCTGCACTCCATGTAATCTGCCCTCTGTGCTGCTGAACTGCAGCTTCCGTGTTTTTAAAGGAATAGGAGTACTCAGGAGAGGAAGAGGAATTTGTCTTCTGATAGCAAGCCCTGCGCCCAGCACTCCTGGTTTGGAGTGAATGGCATATTTTGGAACTGACTCCAATGTTTTGAAATGTGAAACTAAGCGAGGTACAATTATAGCACCACCTCTTTGTTTCTGTGTGCCTAGTGGATGGGCACCAAGTTACTACCCTGTTGTCTTGGAGTGCATATTTAAAAGGTAGTCTTTGTGGTTGGTGGGCTTTAACAGAGTCCCTGACTGAGGAACCAAAACTCTGCCTTAGTGGGATTTGTTATAAAAGCCTGTTAATAATATTTTTTTGGTTATAGCCAGGCTTGCTTTCTGAGATCATCGTACAAATTTATAATCCATCTGGAAATAATTGTCAGGATTTTTCAGAATTAATTTGAACATAAGTGTTTATAGTTGGGGTTTGCTGTGTTTTTAAACGGAGAAGTAAATTAATCCTTAGGTGCAGATTGACCAGTGCTCCAGTGAGTTTATAAATAAGTGATGATGATGGTATTTC